AGGTAAAGCAAACGGCACACCTAGACACACAACAGAACTCCCACCTGCCCATCAACAACTGCATCCTGTCACTGTGAAATTGGGGTGGGGCCACTACTCAGTGCCAAAAACATTACACTGCTCAAACCAAATTTCAGGGGAAAGCAGCCAAAACAGCTCATACCCATCAAATAAGAGGGGATCAAACATGGCTTGTGTAAGATCCCCAATAAAGCTGGGCTGCTACTTTCATTAGATGAATTAGTCCATTCATGTACAAAACACTGATTGCCCTTGTGAAAAATGTAAAAAGTTCAGACAAAAATTGTTTTTTTTTTTTTTTTTATAGTTTGGTCCAAATCTGAACTGATTCCTTATGGACCAGGGAGGCTGAGACACCAGCCTTCTAAAATGGAAGACAAAGTTAAAGTTTTAAAGTTTCTTACAACTAAGTTAACAGAACAAGGACTTAAGCCAGACTGTGAAATGGGTGTTCTCTTGCACAGATACGTAGTCATGTGGGGTTCTGCCACCAAGGACCATGCGATTAATGACATATCTGTATCCCATAACCTGAAGCGTAACCTCACCTCTGAGAACTTGTCTGCTACCATGTAGCGCACCCTCCAGGATTTGTCCTCTGCAGCCTGCCGCAAGGTTGGCATTACCAGACTCTCCAAGTCCTCTTGGGGCAGCAGTGTGGCAATGCTGACGCAGGCCTCCACAGCCAACAGGCGCACAGAGTCCTGCAGGAAGAAGCCCGACAATCAAACGAAGCCAAGTGCCATTAGAAATGGTGACCCTCCTGAGCATCGCAACCCGACGCAATAAAACTTCCTCAAACACTGTTGGAGATCATTGGCCTTAATACAGCAATCAAAGTGGCATTTATAGAGTGATGCCTGAAGAATGTACAGCCGAAGTTATTCACGGCCAGTTCTCAAGCCCTCTCATCCTAATACCTTCAACAATTGCTTAAGATCCATGATTTCAAAGCATTCAACCCCCACCCTTAAGCGACGGACGGACGGACGATACCTGCTCATCTGAGGCGAGGGCAGTGAAGAGGGAGATGATGTCACTCTTCACGTATTCCAGCTCCAGGACCTTGGCAAACTCACCCAGCTTGGAGGCAGCGGCACGACGCACCATAGGAGTGTCATCTGAGCACAGCGTGCGGAAATGTCTGCGGATACGAGGGCTCCCCGTCACACACGATAGGGACGACAAGCGCTACATCCTACAGATCTGTGTAACTTACCTGCACAGGAACATTAAACAATCATACAATATTAATCTGCATTTATGCTTTTACTAGAAAAATCAAACCTGGACACATCCAAAACAAATACATAAAAAATAACCTCATAACAAATACTGCTAAATCACTTGTGTCTGCACACAGATAGTATTGTGTTGGATTATAAATATAGTAAAGCTGGGGTTCTCAACCCTTTTGCTCCTAAACCCAATTTTTACCATGGCAGCTCAGTCATGACCTTATATCAAACTGGTTCACATTAATGCTATGATCAAGGCGCACACTGCACTCTGCAATTTACACAAATCAATGCCTATTGCACAAAACTGACTGGATGTGCCAGTGAATTTTAAATTGAACATCTGTGGTTTGACTTCTTGGACTAGTTGAGTGTTTATACTAGTTTTTGCAGTTACAGACCCAAGATCCATTTATATAGGTTAATTCTAGGATTGGGGCTGGGAAATCTGATCATGGATCAGCATAGGGGCTTGCTGGTTTTAAAATGCTTACATTTCCAACTCTGCCTCACGACCCTTTCTGAATTTGCCATGACCCAAATTTGGGTTGTGACCCATGGCTAGATATTCGCCGTTGTACAGTGCCCTCCAGTGTGACAAACACTGTAAAAAAAAATCATTAATAGATGTCTGACGGCTATTTGCTGAGCTCTACCTGCTCTAATGTTTCTCGGACATTTCAGATAGAGGAAGATGAGGCAACACCCTCCATCCAACACATTACTGTTCAGCAGATTCAGGGGCAGATCCGACACACAAACGGCTCCGGTGACACTCACTGGCGAATCTCAGCCTTGACTGTGCTGGAGACGCGGGGGTAGCAGACGCTGAAGAGGCCGCAGGCTGAGGTGCGGGAGGTGAACCAGTCCCCACTGGCCAGACGCTTCACCAAGGGCTCAAAGTGTACCTCCAGGTCCACAGGCGAGTGCTCGTGGGAGATCTTGCGAAGCGACTCCACAGCCTTGTCCCGTACCACTGTCTCCTCCACAGTGGCCAGGCTCTCCAGTGGAGGCTGGAAGGAAAGCAAACATACACGTGAGCTGTGGTGATTTGGATCACCATGTCAGAGCTTGTCTCAACACGATTACCTCAGTTTTATTTTGCAACAGTACAAATAGACTTACACCAGATTACTGATGGTACAGAGAGCAATAACATTTACTGTAATTGGGCTTGAGACAGAGAAGAGAGGACTGTGGCTTACCAGGAGACAGTGGACGTACTCCGGCCCACCCACCAGCATGGTGAAGTTGCCCAGCTGCTCAGCCAGAGCAAGGAGCACCTCATCCTCGTCATAGATGGTGTCTGAAGAAGCGTGAGACAGGCCATGAGAGAGCTGGCACTACAACAGTATGCTGGGACTAGCCAGCTGACACGACACATATTAAACATGATAACTCGCCCACCAGGCTTCTCTAACCAAGGTCTCCACAGGTCACCATGTACAAATCACATCTATAAAGATCACAATGTTTATTCGATTTGAAACTTTTAATAGTGAAAAATAATAGTCACTTGCTTAGGGATTTAATATTTGCAGAATTCCTGTTTGCAGCAATCAATCATCTCCCAACCCCTTGCACTAACCAAGACTAGACCAGGGGTCTCCAACTCCGGTCCTGGAGAGCTACTATCCAGTAGGTTTTCTGTCCCACTTGGCTTCTGATGAGCCACACCTGTTTCTGGTATTTACCTGAGAACAGGTGTGACTCATCAGAAGCGAGGTAGGATAGAAAACCTACTGGACGGTAGCTCTCCAGGACCGGAATTGGAGACCCCTGGACTAGGCTATAATGTACAAAGAGTAATGAAGCCCAAGCAATTTGTGATGGGACCTACCAGTCAGGAAGGGAAGCAGCTCTGTACGCGTCCTCTCAACGCCCAAAGCCAACGCAATGGTGGACAGTTTCTTAATGCTGTTCAGCCGCAACTGCGGAAGAGGGAAAGACGAGATTTAAATATATGCATGACACAGTACCCCTCAGTCTAAGAACACAAAACAGTAATGAATGCCAGCACAGCTGCCAACTATGACTGCAGCTACAAAGCTGGAAAAGGCTTCCTCAGAGGCGGCCTCGCTTTCATAGAGGAAGATTAAAATCCTTATTTTGTGTGAAGTCAAACATTCCATTGGTTAAAAGAAAAAAAACCTAAAATTTTGGTTCAGACTTGAAGTTAAAAGGTCTTTATACAGCTCTATCGTTTATTGGAGGTAAAGTACATCTATTTACAATTACTTGAGAGCTGCAGTATGTTCAAAGTATATATTTAGCTGAGAAGAGCAATCTTCAGACTTAGGCTACCATGGCAACAGATTAGCTGTAACACCCACTGCAATCCATACATTGGTGCATCAGGAAAGCTTTTTGACAGTTATAAACAAACTGCTTAACATCAATTAAAAGTACCATGTCATACTCAAGCCATTGCATAGCAAAATCAGAGCTACACAAAAAAACCAAAGCATACCACTAGAAACAGTTTCTTATTCTACCCCACTTGAAATACTTCACTAAAGACAGACAATAAGGTCAAAATAGCCATGAGCTCAGCTCATCAAACTCATGACATCTGATCTACAAAATTGCTGTGTTCGATGTGCAGGTCATGAAGGAGCTGACCAAGGTAGGGATTCGGCGTGACATTTAAACCTACCTGGGGAAATCAGGCAACACTACAAGCAAAGCAGAAATGCATTTTTTTTATTATTATTCTACATAACACTGAAAACAGTATTTTTCGCTGTTGCGTGAAATGTCTAATGCTACCGAGTAACCGGCCGAAACATAAAGCGTGTTTAAAAGCCGACCATTTACAAAAATTATAACCGCAGAGCAACAAATGAAGTACGTTTATAATAAAAGGTCGGTACTCATTTTCTTTCTTTAGAGGCAACGTAACAGAGATAACCCAACCCCAGAAAGACATTGATATGTCTAAGGAAGTGGGCCGTACCATACCCGCGGCCCCGGACAGTACTCGGTATATTAGTCGTACAGTTTATGTGGAGTAAATCTGGTGGCGAGAAATTTATCCATTCAAACAAAAATGTACGCATTTATAATTAATCCACAGCATATGTTAAGAAGAACTAATATTACTTCGAGTCAATGTCGCACCGATCGATAAAAAGGTCCTCCGGATAGGCTTCTCGGCCTCCTTTACATCGTTGCAACTAGCTAAGCAGCTAACGGCTAACCGGACTCATGTAACGAGCTCCAAGAACAGCTGTATTTTAAATCTATGGGAGGAGTAATTTCAAATTGCACTGCTATACGGTAAAAATAAATAAATAAGTTAGACATGCGAAAATAAAATGCCCACAGACAACTTCCCACCCTGTTAGCCTAGGCCGGCTAATAAGCTACACGGTTTACTGTGCCGCTCGCCGGTGACTATTTTTGCGCGAGGCCCCGGCAGAATTTTCTAGCTATATCACATAAGACAATCATTTGTTATTTAACCAAAAACTTTTTAAAAACGTGTGGGTCATGCCCAACACATACAAAATCATATTTAAGTTTACCTGGACATCTTCATTCCGTAGCTCGTCAATGAGCACAGCAATAGGGTAAAGAGAATCGTCTCCGTCGGCGCCTGCCATTTTGGATACTGTTCACTACTTCCGCCTAGCCTGAGCTACGGGGTCTCTTGGAGGGAACACAACGGGAAAGTGGTTGCTCTTTTCATGCTGATTGGCCCAATCTTACGTCAACAATGTCAGGCATGCAAAAGGGGCGGTTGCTCGCCTGCCTACACCTTTTTGACATGGTGCTGCATCGTTCTGGGGTATTCGGTTGTCATCAAGGTAATTGGGACACCCGTGTTAGCCGAGCAAAAATTATTATTGTCTTTTGGATTACGATGACATCGACTCCTGTCGTACTCGAAGAGACGAAACTATCATATACATTTAGTTGCGATATGTTAAGGTGTGTCCTTAGTTAACATTTCCTCCCATTCCCGTAATGTATTGTGATGGCTCTCCGATTCCTGCATAAACAGAAATAAGTTTTGCAATTGAAATATTCCGTGACATGCATTCGCACAACATCATTATATCCAAATGACTACTTCACTACGTTTATCTTGTGCTCTATATCAGGAACGCAAATTAGTATCCAATAGGTGAAAAAATTGCGAACATCCTTATTAGATGCAGTCAAGTCGACCATTGTCAACCCGTTCCTCAAGAACGTTCTCTGGTTCTCTGTTCTTCCGTTCTGGAACATATTTCAGAAATTAAACGAGATATTCCCTTTAATCTATGGCAATTTAAAATTGTCTTTATTAAACCATAAAAAGACACCGAATATTAAGTGCAGCGATAGGCAGGGAGCCCTGTTCTGGTAGTAATGAACTAGCTCGAGGCCATTGCGAATGACGTCAAAACAATCCTGCTCTCAAAGGGCGTTCGCAATTTTAAATCCACCATGCATACTTCTGATAAGAGCCATTCTTACGTTTTTCATAAGGAGCTCAATTCCCAGGGCATTTTTGTTCTCTATATCCGAGCCTGTGTCCTTTAGGCTTTTCTTTGTGCATGCACATTGGTTCAGCTTTATTTTTCAAGAGCATCTGGCAGTCTCTGCTGAACCTGTGTCTAATTTCTCCCCGTTTTCCATCTGCATGGTTCTGTTCATCCCTGTGCCCGAAAAGTAACATTTCCTGGAGGTTCAATGCAGTGGTGATATAAAGGCAGAACCAGAACACATGTTACTTTAATGTAACTAGAAAATTACAGGGTAAATGTTCTGGCTAAGGAAGTATTGTCGTGTAAGATGCCGATGGGGGATGCATATTTGCCTTATTCATGCACATTTTATTTTAAAAAGAGTGGGGTAAAATTTACCTGCTCTGGAATAAATATGCACCACAGACTTTAACTGCTTTGTGAGAAGATGGTCCAAATTTTCCAAGAGTAATTGCATGTTCAATTGCCTGATTTGTAAAAATGGCAAGGATCCCAGACGTCACAGGTTACAATGATCATTGAGGAAAACGCAAATGGTACGGACAAATCAGAGCTGAGGACACGATCAAAAAGTATCCCGGCCATCTGTCCTTCCCTAGTGATGAAAGCCTGCTTGTTTCATTCATTCACTAATTCACATCTGATTAAAACCACGGCATCCATAATTCATGCTATCAACAGGCCCCACTCGACCGGAGCACTCATGTTTGCAGAAACAAATGAGAAAATGCTAGTTTTGTAGGAGAACTTGCAGAAAGATGAGTGGTAGTATTGCCTTTCATCAAGCCCACAGAGATGTTGCTTCTGGCACACTCACATAGTATCTTACTCTTGCTCTACAATGACCAAATTCTGGCCACAACAGAGTAGCAGAGTTTTGAGAGCTACACATATAAACTTCCAGCCAGTGTACTGACTCCAAAAGAGGCTTTAAAAAAACAATTGTACCAGAACAACTAGTTCGGTGATCGGAATTTAATTACATTTCATTTTAAAGTTTATGGATGCAATTTAGAAAATTGTTATAGCAAGAACTGAGCTGTTATTGGACCTGTTATCCTTTCGTAATTGGGACAGATTCTTCTTCTGAGACCGAATGTTGATTTTCAGGCAATTTGATGTACACAGTTGTACACTGACTTTTTTACCATCTTTTAAATATCATAAGCAATCTTCCCTTTGCAGAGAATATAGATTATAATGTCATACGAGCAGAGAACATGATGTCAATTATTTTCCAGGTCAGAAATGCTAAAAAAGATATCTAATGCAAAAGCGATTGGGGCGATTGACTTAAAAGCCTTACTATTCCTGGATGCTTGACTATACTTTTGCTGGCAGTTTAGCAACACAAGGTAACGACATGGGTGGTTAAACAGTTACAAATTAATTATAAATAATTAATTATCTGATATTTTAAAGTCAATGGACTATCTTTAGCCCCTTATTACACCAGATATTTTTTTGGCGGAGAAGGTCTAATCTATCATTAGTGGCACTTCAGTGATTCCCCACGACTACTTTAAAATGAGCCATTGGGTTGCTTGTCTGAATCCATAACTACTTTTATTTTGCAGCGTTTCCCAATCCTGTCCTCGGGGATCGTCCACATTTTTGGTCCCTCTCAGCTCCCAACAAACCTGTACCAGGTGATTGGCGCTCTTGGTTGCTTGATTATTTGTGATTGGAGCAGGGAAGGAGCAGAGATGAAAGGGGTGGCGTGTCGATCAGCAGGCTGAGCCTCGGTGCCTGTATTCGGAAGTGTGTCGGTTCGAGCCCCGACCTCGGCAGAATAATCACATGCCTGTGGGCCCCTGAGGAAGACCTTTAACCCTCAGGGGCACTACCTGCTGTGGCTGACCCTGCGCTGTGACCACCCCCCCTCCCGCCCCCAAGCTTGCCGTCACCTCTATAAGTGTCTGTGTGTATCATGGAGAGCAAGAAGAGACTTACCCCGTTAGGTTGGGAAACACTCCTTTAGGGTACCACTTGGTCACGCCCGTGCACCAATTTGCATTATTTCTGAAATTAACAAATGTGCTTGGTTTGTTATTATGCAGACAGATGAAGGACAAGTGGGGTGCCGATGTGCTGAAAATGCTCCCATCCTTCCAGTCCAAGCAGGCCAGCTCTCCAGAGGTGCAGAACCTGGAAAAGCCTGCTTCCTTCCAGTGGAGAAGGAGGACGAGTGCTCCTGTTGCCTTTGGCTCACAGCACGGATGTGTGCTGTGAAGTGCTATATATCCACTAACAGCTCATAGAAACCGTGCATCGCCATGAGGAACAGTTTCTGTCCATGTCCTTTGATGGATCTGTATTTCCTCTTCCCTGACTTGGGAGCACGAAATCCAGCAAAGGGCAGGTTACCGCTGATCTTCACACATAGCGGATCATAATGTAATTAACCAAAGGGGCTTTTCCTGTTAACAAAGCCTCATAATCCCCTTTGTATATGCTGTGATCTAACAAACAAGGTTGTGCCTGGTGACCCTGGGGCATCTGACTTGCCATTATTGTGTAACAAGAATCCATCCATCCATCCATCCATCCATTAATCCATGTTCTAATGTACTTTTCTTGGAGAACGGAGGCATAATCATAAGAAAACACCATTTTTTCCCCCATCATATCTGCCAACGCGAAACTACAGAGGTCTGAATGGGTTAATATAATTCAAACTCATTTTATATAATCTTTGTTTCTCCTGGCTGATGTATTAGACAGTAGTTTTATTAAGCAAACTTTCAAGCAGAAGCTTTTTCCTCCTTTTTTCCTGGAGATTAAGACTGTAATAATAAACAGGGTGAGAAGACTGTCTGGAAAATATGTGAGTGTTATATATATAAACGCTCTGCTCTTTTTCTCTTCAAAGGGGTCTCTGCGTCATTGGGGTTCGTGTCAATAGCGGGGTTTAAAGGGATCACACTTCCTCATTAGTCTCCAGCATGGGGACACTAATCTTCCTCGACCACACACACACAGACATACATATGCTCTTGCTTTACAAATTAAAACACATATGTTCACAGTTCATACACACACATTAGACGCCATTATTAATCCCTAAACCTTTACAAATTAGAACACAAACAGCAAACACACACGTGTTCTTGCTTTCCAAAGCACCACCACACACACAACAGTATCCCTGCTTTACAAACTCCATCCATCCATCCATCCGTCTGTTTTCTGCCGCTTATCCGGGATCGGATCACGGGGGCAGCAGTCTAAGCAGAGATGCCCCTGCCTTCGACCCCCACGGCTCTCTGTGGTGTTGGTGGGTCCACAGCAGGGCAAACCCATGTTCTTTCTTCAGGCTGTGGCTGGCTGGGCCCCATGGGTGGAGGCCTTTGAGCTGCCCTCCCCAGGATGAAGCCCCGGTCTCCCCAATTCTGGCGAATTCTGCTCCTTTTGGTCCATCATCACAGGGGTCTAAACGAATCACATTCAGTTTGGCCGCTCACCTAGGACCAATTTGCCTTGTTGACCCTACCAGGAACAATCGCCCCCGAACAGCATAGGTCCTAGGACAGGGGTGGGCAATCTTATCCAGAAAGGGCTGCTGTGAATATGGGTTTTCACTGCAACTAAATAATTAGATTACTAATTAGAGGACTGAATGGCTGAAAAGTCCTCGCACCTGGGTTTGAACTGTCGACTTAATGCTCATCCCAAAAACCTGCATACACACCGGCCCTTTGTGGATAAGATTGCCCACCCCTGTCCTAGGATCGCAGAAGCACACGAACCCCTCCAGCACCATGAGGTGGCGATTCATGGAGGGGGCTTTACAAACTATACAACACAATCCACAAATATATAGAAGGAGACTCTGGTCCTGAGAGCTTATCAGTGACAATGGCCAAGGCCCAATGTCCCATCTGTTCGTTTGCTGATGGCCAGGTCCACATTGCGCTAGAGATTCCATGGAGATAAACCTAGTCTGTAGCTAATGATTCTGGCTTGTTGCATTATGGCACCAAAGCAATGAACTTTTGAGTCTGAATGAGGGGAAACATCAGTCCAGGTCAGACTCTGCCAGGAATCCACAGGCACCACAAGTTGACTATATAATATCAGCTCAAACAAGAACTCAGATGAAATATTTCCTTAAGCGATACTGTTCAGCATGTAATGCAATGTGTTCCCTGTTTTATAGCCTTGTATTCTGTATCTTACTTTTGTATCCTATTATCCACATTACAGGCTGAGTGTCACATTAATAATATTCTAATAATGTTCAAGACACATGCTAACTAAAATACATATAAACTCAATAATTACTTTAACAACGTCAATAACGTAAAATATTCATTGTTCCTATTGTTGCTATTATACTCATAGCTGCACCATCTGCTGACACCTGAACGCACAAGAAAAATCATGTAGGGCATTTTACTCATTAAGACAGGCCTTTATTCGATAATGTTATAATTACAGTTAACACTGTTCCAATTTCCTTGCACAAAACACAAGATGGTCCAAATGTAAACATTCACCAGACACAGCCTGATGTCCCTCGGGGACCGTCGTGAAATCAGGCCAACGCTCGAGGATTCATGATTCTCTGAAGAGATGGTACGGCTAATGGCAAACCTGCAGAAGGCCTGCTGTTTATGGTCGGAAGATGTGAGCCCTTCCGCGAGTTGTTAGGAGATAGGGGTCAAAGGACTGAGTAGGACTGGGACTGTCACAGCTCCATCTTCACAGAATAAACAAAAAAGGAAACCAGGACAAGAGAGCTGCTGAAACATCCACCTCGGAATCTCGAGACATGAAGGACATGGCAGACAGGAGCACAAAGGGGCAAGTCGAGTCTTCAGAGAACTTCAGGTGCATCATCAGAGATCAAGGGAATATATGAGTGGTGCAGAATGCATGCATTGGAGGGGGTGGGGGCTGTCTGTTGTCCTGCACTGTGTGTCATTTTCTCAACCAGTCCTTGCTCAGAAGGCTGCCATCCAATCACATTTGCTCTTTGGCTGGCGGCTAAGGGTTGTCACCTTGACGATGCTTCGCGGTCACCAGAGCATGGGCGAGAGCGGATGTCCTGCGAAATACGGGATGCCAGCAAGGTAGGAGCAGTGAGGACAGTGACTGAGCTCAGTGGGGGTGGGGGCGGTGGGGGGGGGAGCGTCAGGAGAGATGGTCCCTGGAACACGCGGAGGGGCTGCAGTCGCCGGGGTCAAGGCTGTCCCCGCTTTCTGGCCTGCTTCGACCGCCGCGGCTTCAGGATGACGTAATTGCTGTAGGTGATGTGCTGCTCGGACAGGAAGGGGATGAAGAAGGCCCTGAGGAGGCGGGACGACCTGCCGGTGCAGATGTGACCAGGGGGAGAGAACTGCACCATTAGAGGCTCGAAAAGACAATGCATTGTTTTTCATGTGTCAAAATATGTTCGCGAAGCTAGCTCAAGAGCATCCTCTAATGACCACAGCGCCACACTGCAACTGCACATGGTCTCCATGGTAATCGGGAAGGGGTCAAAGGTAACACTTATCAATGCAAAGGCCATGATGTTGCTCTTTTGTCTGTAAATATAGAAAAATGGATAATGGCGAATAACTGATAGTTATGGAAGCACCTGCGCAGATTTGAATTCTGATGATTAGTAGAGCTGAATTAACTTCCCTAACGAGTAACCAGCAGCACCTCAAAGCCTAATGGTTCTTCTCTGCAGGGACGCTGTAGATGTGATTAAAAGGGGCCCAGCTCTTCAGTCGAACCATCTGTCCAGCTGGTCGGAGAGGGAGACGGACCAAGGAAGCTCACTCATTCCTCACTGCGGTTATCGGGCCGATCAAAGAGTAATGGAAACCAAAATGCAGTTGTCAGGAGGGCACACTGCCCCCCCCACAAAACCACAGGCTGGGGGTAGGGGACTGGGATTAAAAAAAAACTGCACAATAGGAAAGTGGGCAAATGGTAAGAGAGGGGTGTGGTCACGGTGCCACCAATGGCGGCGTGGAGGTGCCCTAATTAGCGGCAGCCTCGCACCGTCTGTCCGATTCAATCACTGACACCATTTCTCAGCACAGCCAGCGAGCATGTGCGGGGGGAGGGGGTGGGCAGGGGGCTGAGCTGGCACTGGGTGACGTCAGCCCGGGACACAGACCACATCCCATGAGGCTTTGCAGTAGGAGGTGTGAAAATAGGCCTGCGAGAAACTGAGGGGGAAATCAGACGAGTGTGTGTGTGTCTGTATGTGTCTATGTGTGTGTGCGCGCGTCTGTCTGTATGTGTGTGTGTGTGTGTGTCTGTGTGTGTCTATGTGTGTGCGCGTCTGTCTGTATGTGTGTGTGCGCGCGTCTGTCTGTATGTGTGTGTTTGTGTGTGTATCTGTCTATGTGTGTGCGCGTCTGTCTGTATGTGTCTATGTGTGTGCGCGTCTGTCTGTATGTGTGTGTGCGTTTGTGTGTGTGTGTGTGTGCGTGTGTGTGTGTCTATGTGTGTGCATCTGTCTGTATGTGTCTATGTGTGTGCGCGTCTGTCTGTATGTGTGTGTGTGTGTCTGTATGTGTCTATGTGTGTGCGCGTCTGTCTGTATGTGTGTGTGTGTGTGTGTGCGCGTCTGTCTGTATGTATGTGTGTGTGTGCGCGTCTGTCTGTATGTGTGTGTGTGTGTGCGCGTCTGTCTGTATGTGTGTGTGCGCGTCTGTGTGTGTCTATGTGTGTGTGTCTGTCTGTCTGTATGTGTGTGCGCGTTTGTGTGCGTCTGTGTGTGTGTGTGCGTCTGTCTGTCTGTGTGTGCGTTTGTGTGCATCTGTCTGTGTGTGTGTCTGTCTGTCTGTGTGCGTATCTGTCTGTCTGTGTGCGTATCTGTCTGTATGTGTGTGCGCATCTGTGTGTGTGGGTCTGTCTGTATGTGTGTGCGCATCTGTCTGTATGTGTGTGCGCGCGTGTGTGTGCATCTGTCTGTATGTGCGTGCGTGTCTGTGTGTGACTGTCTGTGTGTATGTGTGTGCGCGTCTGTATGCGTCTGTCTCTGTGTGTCTGCACGCACATGCCTCCATGCACATTTTGTTTGGGGGGGGGCATTAATAAATGCCTTTTTTAACCTCCTTCTCCATTGCCCTGCGCTATCGCAGCACTGCCAGGTGGATTTTTGACAGACTGGCCTCTTTCATTTTTCTGGATCAATTCACTGACGTTAGCCCACTGCCCTGTGGTCTGGTATTAAGCCATTAGCAGCCGATGCCAGAGACAACACTCCCTGGATGGGCTCCACGCAAACACAGACTAAACACCAGTTGCGCGGAGATATGGGGATAATCGCCATGGTAACTTATTTACACTCAACCTTCACCCGCTGGCATTGGATGCATCTCACCGTTTTCAGACAAGCCGAAACCGATCCTGGCATCACACCTCCTCGAAAATATCATGTCAGCAGGTAATATGCGATGTCGGCTAACTGGTGACACTAATAATGGTCTGACTGGTTTGCGTTTACAGAGTCGCATATTATATAATACGGGTATGTTTACATAAACCTCTGTAACAAGCATTTGCAATGTATAACCCAAAATATATTTACGTGAAACATTCAATAATTACAGCGTCGCTTATTTCATTCCTTAATGATTTTTTTTTCCTTGCTGCCCTTGTGGTTCAGTCAGAGAGGGCGAGTTTAGACTGGCGTTTCTCAAAACCAGTTCTCAGGGACCGCCAGACTGTCCAGATTTTTCCTCCCTCCCAGTTACAAACACACCTGTAGCAGGTATTTGGGGTCCTTGATTGGCTGGGAGATGGGAAGGAGCTAAGATGTGGACTGTCTGGGGCCCCCCCGAGGACTGGATTGAGAAACACTGCCTTAGACATCTGACACCCAGCTAGCCACCTGATCTCTTGATAAACACTCACTGATCACTGGGAATGACAGCCATGCAACCTCAGCCGCAGTCAATTCACTGCCCCCCTTACATATGACCCCCTCCCCATTATGTAGAAGGGCAGGTCATCCTGCCGGCCTCTGGTTCAGATGACTGCTGGGAATGACAGCGACGCGAGAGGAGAGTACAGGAGGCATGAGGCGGGAGACAGCAGAAGGGGGGCGGGGAGAACGAGGGAAAGAAAAAAAGGAAGATGACTGGATGTTGGAGAGAAAGGGAAACGGGGGGAAGATGGTGGTGGAATTAATGAAAAGATGGGAAATGAAGAGAGAGAGAGAGAGAGAGAGAGAGGGGGAAAGCTGAAACAGAGTGAGAAGAGGTTAACAGGGAGGGAAGCATGAGGGGGGGGGGGGACTGCGCTCCTATCTGCCACTCTGCAGACGTACTGCCCCTCTAATTGCTGGGACTGAAGGGCCCCAATGACGCACAGAGCAGCGGGACTGGCAGCCGGGCGTGCGTGTGTGTGTGTGTGTGTGTGTGTGTGCGCGTGTGTATGTATGTGTGTGTGTGTGTGAGAGAGAGAGAGAGTGGGCACATGGAGGAGGGGAGGCAGGCCCAGTATATGGAGCAGAATAAGGGCACCTTGAAACAGCGCGGCGACGCCGGGTCCGACCGTGGCGGCCCATGACGCGTTTCATCCCGACACGCCCCCACATCTACGCCTTGAAAGTGAGCTGCGTTTGTGGGAAATTCCACAAGCTGCAGAGTAAACTCTATGTCCGGGGTGGGGGGGGGTGCTAATCAGCCCATACTCACAATCCCTCACTGCCTCATACAACTACGTGAATATCAGGGTTAGGTCAGTATAGGCGTGTGAGTGCGGCTTATTTGCATCTTTTGATTGGCCGATGACCCCTCCGCCCCCTGTCCCAGCGAATGACCTGGAGGCGTCCAGGAAGGGCTTGTAGGCGACGACCGTCCACTCGTCCTTGTTGGCGGCGTAGCGCGGCTCCCGCGGTGCCTGCCGCTCCGTGTCCAGGTCCACCAGGTAATGGCACTGCTTGATGTCGACCTGGGGAAACGCGACTTTAAGCCAGCTGGGTGACACGTGAGGTGTTAGTAATGGAGACCTTTGTGGTGGGGGGGGGGGGGGGGGGCTACACACTGTCCACTCTAAAAACACCACAGGAGCACAGGAGTCTGTCCCCCGCGTAACAGCAGCTTGAACCACAGGCCATCGTACAAAATACCGAAAAGCCTCACTCAATCTGTCAGTGACCCTGTAAAAAAATTGACAAATCAGCTCTCTGTGCCCAACCTCTCTGCTCTGATTGGCTAAACTAATTCAGGCACTCCCCCACCACTGCCAAAGACCTAAACCAGTTTTGGCTCTTGTGCACAGCCGGGAAGCGAGGTCGCCTCACAGAAATGACCCCCCCCCCCC